TAATATATTTTAAATATTTTAAATATTAAATGTTAATTGTAATAATAATATTTTAATATTTAATAAAATATTTTATTGTGATTAGACGGTTAAAATTAAACAATTATAATCATCACAATATGACGCAACATTATCATCTCCTTATAGTTCATTAAATATTCTACATATTAAAACATGTATAATACGGAGTTATAAACAGTACCGTGCTGCAGGCAAGACGAGCGTCCTCATCTTCAGTATCAGCGAGCGAGGCGCTGGTAAGAGAAAAACAAGTTCACTCTGCTATATCTTACATCATGCAACAAGCTTTGTGTACGATGAACAGTTGATGAAAAAATTGGTTAAATTCAGCTTCAGTTCTATACAAATTAGAGTTTATATTGGGTCGATACGAATCGGTTAAATTCGTCCTACATTTATTTTAAATCCAAATACGATATCTAATGTAAATGAATTCACTAGTTTCAGAGATGACATATGCTGATATAGCCTCCCGGTAATGCGATATTTTAATGCATTTTCTCCCGTGAATGAAGGATATACTTATAAACTAATTAACGATTGTCTTAAAAATTCGTGTGAAGATGTCATCGGACGCCATTATGTCCCAGCTTCTTTTATGTGCTCTTTGCACTGTGTATGAAATGAAAACACATTGATGTGATTCATCCCGATAATCGCTGAACGGTTTTATATTAAATTTTGTATGGTCGTCATGCCATTGGAGACTATCCTACAATAGCAATTTTTAATTTCTTACAATCGATAATACCAACATGACGGACGTACACGGTTGTGATGAGGTATCGACTCTAGCGTTCCAGTTACAGTAGGCCGTACGTGTGATGTGTGGTGGTAGATTTACAGAAATAAAAACGTATAGTTTAATAATTCTTTGTATAATGTAAAACAGCAGTACGGTGGCTGCATGAAAGACAAAATCCTGACTTTTCCAAAATTCGATCCTGTGACTTTTGACGTTTTACTATTGATACACGGCACTTTAAGGAGACTCTTAAGATTATATATTTTGTGTAGTTTGAAGCTCAAGTTGTCTGAGTAAGATTACTTACGTTATGTTTTATTAATAATTCTGAAATTGCCAATAACATGATGCGGAATACGCCTTTGTACTCTTCTTAAATTTGCTGTCGTTAATACGTGTACGTAGCCGCCCGAACTTCAACAAGACGAGCGTTACTAACCCGATTTAGCATAGGGACTTGGCGTTTTATGTGGTCAAATGAAGGCAATTAAAGCGCATGGAAAATTTGTTAAACCAGTATTATGTGAGGCTAGTAGAAAATAGTGGAAATTTAGCACTGAACGATTTATTCTTATCTTAATCCCTTTTTCCTTTACATTTTTTTTATTCTCATCGTCTTTAGAAATTCTAAAATTACCTAATGTAGCAGCACTTGTAAAATAGAACATTCTGTCGTCTGGCGTCAACGCCGAGAACTTGGTGAAATGTCTATTTATTATCCGAGTCGGTTTCTACGCGTGTCATCTGAATGCTCTTCGTCATTTATTTCACATCTTCGTATATTTCACACCTCTGCGCCCATGTGTCTACCATTTGCACAAGGTTGACTTTTATGAACGAGACAGAAACTCGGGCCTGTACAGAATCAGACTCAAAGAAAGTCCGTGTTTCCTTGTATAACATTCTCACTGAATTTCTGATATCCATGAACTAAAGAGGCCAATTAAAATATGTGTGAAAGAAATCTGTATTAAAATCCATATACGTAAATATTTTCCAGGTACATTTCTTATTCAGAATGGTCAGAAACGAGGAGCTGTTGCTTTTCCTCTGTCACTTTTTTGGAATTTGTAATTGAATGGGACACATCAATTCCTCGTCTATGCTGCTATGGGTCTACATTGAAATCAATTAATGATTCTTCTCTGTTGTAACAAGTAATGTACTAAAACACGCACGCAGTTGTATGGTACAAATGTCTTAATGTTTTTGGGATTCTGATTGTTGGTTACGTGCTTAATTGTGGTAGTTGTGATTCGACTTTCGCAAATGTTTTGTTAAAACCGCCTCCTCATTGTGATCTCGGTACTTAATTGCTGCACACAATGTTTTGTGTATGCTCACTCCATGTGAGATGTGAATGAAGTTGGTCTCTGTTGGGGCCGTTAGAAAGAGCTAACCGTTGGCACTGGTCTAGGGCTTGAGGTTATCTCATTCTAAAGAACCCAATAGAGAAAGTGCCCGTTCGCCTTCCTTACACATGATGACGAAGACAGATGTAGCCTTCCAAACTTTGTGTGTTTCTAGAATACCATACAATGGACAAAGTCCAAACACTCATCAGTGCAGACTGTAATACACAATTGTCAGAACCCCGTAGAATCTACAGCCCCATGGGGCTGAAACGCGCCTGTAAATAAATACTAATTAGTCATAAAAGTGGTTGGAAAGTTGTCTTATAGTTTATAAATTGTAGCTTTCGCGGTAACTGAAGTTTATGAAAGACTCTCAGGTTACAAGCCGCGTCAGGCGACTGAATGGTGAATAAACCATATCTTCTGCCAACGTTTCGAGAAGAATATATGCTCTCATCCTTCGGGCTGCTGCGTAACAAATGTGTTATGGTTACATGCTGCTACTCGATATAAAGGGTATGAGGAGCAAAGACTCATTACCTACCGTTTTAACAAGCACCCACAGCTGGAATTTATTCTGAGTGAGTTGAACCAGTTCAAACCCTGAAAACCTGTTTTCGTTCCGTTTTAATATTATCATCTTCATATCTTTAGGTCTCCAAGTGGCCTTTTCCAATCTAGGTTAGGAGCTAAATTTTAGTCTTTTTCATCCCCATATACACATTTATGTCAGTCTCCTTCATTCTTCATCCAATCTTCATAATATTTGTCAAAGCATACAATTATGAAGCTCTTTATCAATTTTTGGTACGGTTTCATTAAACAAGCTGTCTCTGATAAGAGTATTTTTATGTTTAGGTTAACTGCGCAAGTTCCACTTCGTTGCAGGTTTTGACGTGTATTGATTTTCAGGGAGATTTTTGAGCCGAACTTTTTTCTAGTTAATGTTGTTCGTCTCAATATGTGGGCATTGCCAGTACTACCATTAGCTAGCTGTAAGTGTTTGAATGCTAAGTGCTGAGGAGCCTAGAGGATCTAAGAGGGACGGCGTAACTGATGAATGAAGGATTTTCATAACAGGGAACTTTGTATGGAATTTCCATTACTGTCTGGATAGTGGATTATAGAATGCTCTAATGGGTCAGACATTATCACCGAAGGTAGAAACAGGAGACAATATTTTGAAGGGAAGTCCATCCTCATACGAAGTCAATGCTTGGAAGACCGAAAAGGATGTGGAACAATGATCACAAATTGGATTTAAAGAGGCAAGTTTAGAAATTTGAATAATGGAACTAAAAAAATACAGTTTGAACGAGACCTTGACAAACCAACTTCCTTTCTACACTGTTAAGTATTTGTACTACTAAGCAAACATTGCAGAAAGAAAGTGGTTTATGTTAGTAAGTAAAGTAAAGCTGTCCCACTATGAGCCATGTAGGCGCTTGGGGGGAGAGGAGGGTATAGCTCCTACTCATTCCTGACCTCGGCACTAGTTGGGGGGTGAGAACATCAAGCCCCAGCCGCACTGGTTTGTGTAAGATCTCGTACAAATATCCACACGGCACGAAAGGTTACCAGTTTGGTTGAAAAGTTTTGCAGAATGCCATATTTATTTTGACGAGTCTCTATTCGTGCATACGGCGGACACTTAAAAATGGAGGCGGAGTTTGGAAACCAAAATTACTTTGTCTGAACTTTCTGCATTTATTTTTGTGAAAAAATTGTATTGGATCCGCTGTTGTGGTGCTTTGCAGGTAGGACCTTTGTTTACCCAGCTTCATTGATTTATATTTTAATCTTTCGGTCTGTT